TCGTGAGGAACGGAATAAAAAGATAATAACCTCTTTCAATGGAGGCGGGTTAATATTAATGAATGGAGAACTAAAGCATTTCTATTCGTAAATTGTACGACATGATGTCTCCTTCACTAGCCTCCTAACAAATTGGGAAAATGTACAAAAAAAATAAATAAGTATACCTTAATGTTACTTAATATAGGGTGAATTCAGATTTCTGTTTAATGTATGGGAAGTGAAGTAGTGTAGATTGCGAAATTTTACTTTCTTTTTTTTTTTTTGTTTCCCAGTCTTCGTAAGAGGTAATAAACATTCTAATTACGAAATAGTAAATCATAACCCCACTGATTTCATATTCTTTACATTAGGTTTTTTCTGTCCATTGACCGACAATGTTTGCCGAGAAAATGATGTTCAGCGAAGAAATAGGGTAAAAATGAAACTATGCACTCATTTGCTCACCGCCATGACGTAACTTCCCGCTCTGCCTTTTCTACATATATCTTTATGGCAATTGTTCTAACGGTCTTTCTTCCTTCCTTTCGTTCTCGAAATTAAGCGTGCTACTAGATTGGCCATTAGGTCTCAACATTTCACTGCTGAACTATCTACATGCAAACCGTATGTTCTTTAATAATAGTTCCTTTTCTCGCACTTCTTGTTTGTAAAACTCGCTTCCGGTTTCTTGCTCCCCTGCCACCGACAATCATCAAAAATTTAAATACATCGACAATCGCCATTTTCTACCTTCGTGAAACCCGTTCTTTTATTCTCCTTTTTCCTCAGTATAGACATTTCATTCTCTTTTATTCCCAGTAACCACATGCGTCTAATTCGCATTATCGTCATGCTTAAGGGGAAATGATTAAAAAAAAAAAAAAACAAGAAAGAAAGAATACATAAATATATAGGTACCTCAACTGACTAGCTAAAAAATAGTATACCACAATGAAAAAATGCCCCAAACTTAATAAAAACAAAGTTTTATTATCAAGATCATTATTTTATTATTAAGAAGAAAGACCAAAGGATTTTATTTTACTAACTTATATTTTTAATCACTTTTAGAACGTTTGAAATTTTGGTTAAAAATCCTTTTTGTTTGGCTTCAGCAGGGTGCGGTCGGGGGGAGGGTCAAAGATTAGTATAGGACATTTTAACGTCTTTTCTGTGTGAAAAACGCCTTCATTAGAAATTATTGCAAAAATGAAATAATTGTCGAATTTCAATGAAACTTTCTTTACTTATTCACAAAGGAAGTAAATCATTTTAGAAATGTTCCTTTTTTTTAGAAAATTTTGGTAAAACATTTTTTTTTATATCTGTTAACCCCACTTATACAATTTTATAAAATTTCTAGGAAACCACCGAAAATTTGCCCTGAATCGTAAAATAAAAATGCAATAAAATTAAGACATTATTTCATTAGAAAAAAAAATTAATTGCTTTTATGAATCATATATATTATGAACACTATTTTCTTAAAAAAAAAAAACTTTCGATGAATAATGAATATTTACAATAATTGTTATAATTTTAAAAACTTTTAATTAGAATAATTTATAAAGTTTTAAATCTTTTAAAATTCTGTCTTAATTTGTCCTGGTTAGGTGATATTGTTATTAAGTAAAAATTGTATTCACTAAGCATAAATAGATAAGCAATACCCAACATTTTTAAAAGAATTTTGATTTTTTTTTTTTGTGTATACAAAGGTATAGATTTTTGTAAATACTGACGTCTATACACGACATTATCTGATAATGCAAAGCTCTTCTATGAATCGAGCACCTGAGTCACTGGCGTCTTTATATTCAAAAATAAATATGTAAAATTCATCTTCCTCTGATATATATATATATATATATATATATATATATATATATATATATATATATATATATATATATATATATATATATATATATATATATATATATATATATATTTTTATTTTAAAAAAATGAAATGGACAAAGTCTGACAAATATTTTATACATCCTTTTACAGATACAAATATTTAAGTAAATGCTCTGTTTATAATAAACATTTACCGGCCTGAATGTCCGAGAAATTTTCATAGAAAATATTCACCCTCCGACAGGATTCGAACCTGTATCCTATACGGAACCGTCATATAACCTGACGCGCCTTTAAACCAATTTGGCCACAGAGGAGCGTTCGGTTAGCAAGGTCGAATTTACTGCTTTTAAACTTCAATCATCCATGAATCTCTCATGTACATTCATATCTGCTCATGGCGTATCAAATGTAAACAAATGACGAGACGCATTATGAAATGGACAAAGTCCGACAATTATTTTAAGACATTTTTATGTTTATACATACTTTTTATAGATACAAATATTTAAGTAAATGCTCTGTTTATAATAAACAGTATTAACAACATTTACCGGTCTGAATGTCCTAGAAATTGTCATAATTTCACAATGTAACAACATAAAAATGTCTTAAAATAATTGTCGAACTTTGTCCATTTCATAATGTGTTACGTCATTTGTTTACATTTGGATACGCATCGAGCAGATATGAATGTACGTGAGGAAATCATGGAAAATTATGGTTTAAAAACAGTAAAATCGACCTTGCCAAGCGAAATGCTCCTCAGTGGCGGAATTGGTAAAAGCACGTCAGGCTATATGACAGTTACCGTATAGGATGCAGGTTCGATTTCTGTCGGAGGACGCATGTTTTCTATGACAATTTCTCGGGTATTCAGACTGGTATATCTTGTTAATACTGTTTATTATAAACAGAGCATTCATATTTGTATCTATAAAAAGAATGTATAAAAATGGCTTTTTTTATTTTATTTTATTTTTATATATATATATATATATATATATATATATATATATATATATATATATATATATTAAAAGAAGGGTGGTGCCGCAAACGTTTTTGGTTGTAATGTGGATTTATTGAGAAAAAATATTATACTTTGTTTTACATAATTTCACGACACGTGTTTCTGGTCTCGCAACCGTCTTCAGGTGAAAGTGGAGATTTCTACATATTATTAAAAATAATTAATTTTTCTTCATGTTCAATGTGGAATATTCTCGATAAATCCACATTACAACCAAAAACGTTTGCGGCACCACCCTTCTTTTTAATATACATACTTTTCTCTCGTTGGAACCACTACAACATATTTCTTTTATATATATATATATATATATATATATATATTAAGGCATTAAAAACAAGAAATTTTATATTATAGGCCATGATAAGTTTAAAACCAAAACACACACCAGTCGACCGGTTTCGTCCCCTGTCGTCAGAACTGTGAACGGGGAACTAAGATTATGAGGAAAAGAAAAAAAAAGTCTGTCATGGATGACATGAATGAGTGGAATTTCTTGTTTTTAATGACTTAATACTTAGTACCGTTTCAAACCTATTTAAATATTTTAAGAAAATGTACTCCCCTGAGTCAATTAGACAATTGAATAAAATGTTACAGATTAGGTCTAAAATTGAAACATTGAAAGGGAAGACAATTTTTTTACATTCTTGTCTTCAGCACCAGGTTTGCCCGTCTTTTATTTCCTTTCGGATTAGGCGGGCTAAGTTGTTGTCTGGTTGGATTATAGAGAGAGCCTTTATTAAGGATTTTCTCTTACAATTTTCTAACCAGGATTTGGGCCTACAAAGAAGATATCATCTGTTATGGCGTGAGGCAGGTAATTATTTATCCTATTTTGATATAATCCGCTTTGCCCGTTACGTTGGTTTGATATCTGCACGTTGTCGTTCTAAGATGGCTAGCAGTTTTCATAATAAGTTAAAACAACTTATCCCCAAGAGATTTGGCTGCATGGTTGAACCAAATGCTACAAAAAATGTAGTTAATTTGTCTTCTTATTCTCCTTCAGAGATTGAGCTTGCTATCTTGGCCCATGGCCTAGACTTCAGCATTCCTTTCACTTCTATTAGTAGGGAGAATATTTTTTCTGAATTTGAAGTATTGTATGCTCAACTCTCGAAGCTTCAACCGGTGTCTGATGATAAATCCAGTGACTTTCGAGCTAAATTGAATGATTTGGCTCATTCTTATGCTAGTTCTCCTATTTCTTTCTCTGAATTGAAATGGAGAAGTGAACACCATAAGGTTATTAGATCCCTTAAGAATAATCATTCTTTGGTTATTACGAAACCGGATAAGGGATCGGGTGTCGTCCTCATGGACCGTCATGACTACATTAACAAAATGTTAAGTATATTGAATGTCCCTTCCAAGTTTCAACGTCTTGGTTCCATTGACACTCATGATTCTACACTGACTTCTGAAATTCGATTTCCGAAACGTCTTGTCAAATGGATAAAAAGTGGTGTTCTTTCTTCTGAAATGGCGGAGCAATTGAGACCGCTTGGCACTATTCGTCCCCGTCTTTATGGTTTACCCAAGATTCATAAGGAGGGTGTCCCGTTGAGACCCATATTATCGATGATTGAGTCTTCACAGCATAAAGTCGCAAAGTGGCTTGCTATAATGTTGCAACCAGTGTTGCAGCATTACAGTTCCTTTTGTATTAAAGATTCATTTTCTTTTTCCAAATTCATTCGGAAATGTGATGCCACTGATGGATTTATGTGTTCCTTTGACATCTGTAGCCTCTTCACTTGTGTTCCTTTATCGGAGACTATTGATATTTGCAGCGATATGTTATATCGTAGTGATTTGACTCCTCTGAATATACCTGAAGAAGTGTTCGTTGAACTCATGAAATTTGCCACTATGTTTGTCGATTTCAGTTTCGACAATATCATGTATCGTCAGATCGATGGTGTAGCGATGGGTTCCCCTTTGGGTCCTGTGTTGGCAAATATTTTTGTGGGTTTTTATGAGGAAAGCTTTTGTTAAGTTCTGCCCGACCCAAGGTTTACTTTCGGTATGTGGATGAATTTTTTTGTGTGTTCAGCCATGAATCGGAAGTGGATCAATTTTTTCCCTACTCAATGGTGTTCATCCTGCTCTTAAATTTACAGTAGATAATGAGGTCAATGGTTCATTGCCCTTTTTAGATGTTCTTGTTCAAAGAACTCCTTCCTTGTTTATTACCTCTGTGTACAGGAAGTCTACTTTTACAGGACTATATACTCGATGGGACTCCTTTTGTCCTAAACGACAAAAAATAAATTTGATTAGAACCCTGACACATAAGGCGTTAATGATTTGTTCGGGTGACACCTTGAAACATGAAATCAGTTGTTTAACTGAGATCTTTGTGAACAATGGTTATCCGTTGAACATTGTTCAATCGGTTATTCGAGATGAGACCGCCAGGTTCAACAAAATCAAACCTGCTTCAGTGGGTAAATGTCCGGTCTATCTTCGTTTACCGTGGTTGGGT